CTAATTAAAAAAAAAAAAAAAGTGAAGAATGTATAAATAACTATTATTCAAATTATTTCAAATTCATTAACCGTTGTTATCAATAAACCTAAATGAGAGCTTATAAGTATATTTATAAGACGTTTTAATAGTATAATAATAACAATAATGTATAATATGATTAAAACGGTAAACATTTTTTACTCAGTTCAACTATTATAATATCTAGTTTTTTTTTTTTTTTTTTTTAAAGATATTCTTCATCATAATATTGTGTTAGTTATTATAGAGTTTATGTACTTGATGAATGAAAATAAAAAAATCAATTTTTTTATCGATCAATATTGTGCAAGTTACGTAAACATGGTTAGACTAATATCGGATGACCATTTTTATGAAAATAAAAACGGTAAAAACTTTATTAGGTAATATGATATTTTTTTATTTTTTCAGATTAAATTTAAGTTACAACTTATTAAAATAATAAAATTATAATTATAATAAATTACTTTTTAAAATTGTTTTATGTTTTTTTAATACATTGATATTTATTTTACAAACATTATTTATAGTAATATGGATATAACGGGATTAAAACGATACTATCTTTTAAAAAACGGGATAAAAAGCATTCCGTTCGGAGTTTTCGAGACAACAGGATATGATAATCAAAAAGGGACAATCCCGTTTTAAACGGGACGTATGGTCACCTTTGATGGCTTAGACTAATATAATATTAAGTATATGCATGTTATTGTCTACAGTAGTTTTACTTTGGTATAATTCTTATTGTCAGACACAAAAGTAGGTTGCTGCGCATAATCTACAAAAAAAAACTTGACATAATATTTTAATTGTGAGGTTGAAGTGACTATTTTATAATAACTACTAATGTTATTGTAAATACATAAATTAAAATAAACTAGATAATTGTAAGAATAAACAATATACGTAGATATATAAATATAGAGTATATTAATATTTTTATTACACGCTACAGTTATTTCGATACACAGTATTGACGGAATAAACAAAATAATAATGTGTATGAATGATAATTACGAATTAAAATTTAGCCTTAAATGCTAAAATATACAAACAAAATTTTTGGTCAGCTAATGTAACTATACAAAAGTAATTCTAAAATATTACAAATACTTTAATATAGTGTAAATCATAAATTTATTTTTCATATTTTTGTGACATTATTTACTTATAAGTTATAATTTATACTGATTACGTTGACATACCTATTTCTGTAATATACATCACAAAAATAGATTATTATTGTGACTAATATTTTAATAATTTATTAACTACACAGTTACTAATTAAGACTAAAAAAAAATAAGAAATAATGAGAAAAAAAGTAATTAAAATAGTAAGTTAAATGTATTTTTTTCTGCTCTATTTATCTAATGTTAACATAGACACTAACTCTTGTACTTGCATGTTTATCTTATTTCTGAAAATTCGATTTATCATTGTATGTACTTAAACTGTAAATAAATTAATTTCTGTTTGATTGAAAAATTAAAAAAATGTAATTTCTATTTAGAAATTTTTTTATTTTAAAAATATATTTTTTAATTTTATAATAAAATACATTTAAGTTTGAATACTACTAAAATATAACTTATTTGATTATTATAGCAGCTCAGCTATAATAATAATTTAATCATAATTTAAAATAAAAAACATTTTAATATTTCCAATAAATATATCAGATATGAAATACATTGTCCTAAATTCGATGTGTATGCCAAATGATATACTTATAGACCAAACTATTTGTATATAGGTACCTCAAATACATTATTTTTATGTACTAAGTTTTTCTATAGTGAGTGACATTTTGAAATATGGATATGTGTTTATTAGATTTAATATATTATAACAGAGCAATGGATATTATATAGGTATTATATAGGTACAGTATAGTTTGTATATTCAGTATGGTTTAAAAATTGCGTGTTTTTAAACATTTATTAACACTTTTATGGGAAACTAAAAGAAGTTCAGCGTTTCATATAGCACGATTATCAAGATTAGAAGCAAAACACAAATTGTGCTTAAGCAGCACATTTTCCAGTGTTTTTGAGAAAATCGCAAGAAAACGTGAAATAGAAGTAACAAACAAACCTAGTTTATGACCGGTAGTTTACGGAGAACCCTTTTTTCGTTTTTATTCCTTCGACCCGACGTCAATTGTGCACTCGGAAAACATTTGATGCAATCATAGGTCATTCCGTCTTATTATTTATTTGGTATTTAAACTTTAGTAAATTAAAGTTTGTCATCGTTAAACCCAAAACTGAATGTTATTAATAAGATTATTTTCATTAACAGTATACATCAGATTTCACACAAAAAAGTAGAACCAATAAATATCTCGTTCACACTATTAGAAGGATATTTGAGTCACACGATTTTCCAACCATACGTTAGTCGAATTCTTGCCTATACTTATAAGAATGCTTTGATAATACTAGGAATGACCATAAATTCTTGAAACCCTCAAGTGTGGTGATTATTTTTTGAACTAGAAAACACTGTGTATTATGATTTATGAATAAAAGAAATTCAATGCTAAAAAGATGTCCTGTAATCTATTATGGCTAAGCGAAAAAATAAGTAAAATATTTTAATTTTCAAAAAAAAAATCATACCATTCTCGTGTAAATTGTTAATTGCACAAAAAGTGTCTAGTTAGAATAAAACAATAAGCCTTAACAATTTAATATGAATAAAAATAATATCAGATTATCTATAATAAATTATTGACTGAATCATCAAAATTATTGTACATTCTTAAATTAATAGGAATCGATCAAAACTAATTTTTAGTTTGTTTATGTTTATGATATTATAAAGTACAGAATTTCTTTCTTTTAAATACATGAAATATTTTTATAAAAATTAAACTAATTACTAAAACTTATTTAACTATAACCTATTTTAAAGAATAGGTCAACAAATTGTCATTTTTTGGAAACAACCGAAGGATAAAATTTTAACTAATACAAAGAAATGTAGTGCATAAACGGTAGTATTAATAATACACGCTACCATATTTAGGCTATAGCAGATACATCTATTTTAATTTAAGACTTGGGTCCTCGCGATCTTAACACTTTGTCAAGATAATACTATTCAAATAATGATGATGATAAAAATAATTAACATTATTTTATTATTTCTATTTTCTACAAGCTGGTAGGTTATAGGTGTAGTCAATGCATTTTAATTTTTCATTTTATTGCCGATTATATCTGTACAATTCACTATGGTTGGTAAAACCGGTTCAAATATTTTTATAATAGCTGTAAAATAGACATTCCCTTTCTATTCCCTTCTCACACACACTCCCATGACACAATATACACGTTTCATTATAATATTACGGATTGTGGTCAGTGGCGGCGCGAAATTGTGGAGGCTTTGAAGCATATTGTATATTTTAAATATTTTTACCACCACCCTTAATAAGTAGCAGTGGCCAAAGAGCTTTCAAACATGAAGCAATTGCTTCAAATAATCCTATATCCCGCCGCCACTGATTGTGGTAGATGTAGAACAGTTGTTCATGCGACCCTCAGCTGTTCTGAATATTTATACATGTATACGCTCATAAGTTACTATCGTTGCACGGTTATACATTATTATTTTACCACCTATTCGTTCTCAGATAAAGCTTACAGCATTTCATTTACACTGGCACGTGTTTGTGTTACAGACAAATAATATTATGCAAGTCTGAACGTCACCGTTTTCAAGGTCAGCATGCATAATAAAAAATTTTAAAAAGTGGAAAAAATAGTATAAATACTATCAAAAACTATAAATACAGTCAACATTTTAATTGCACTTAATAAATAATAATGATTGTTTTAGTTATAATATAATAGACTATAGGCACACTATATTATAACTTATAAGCTACCCACATATTTCATGGCTAATAGACATTTTACTGTTTATCCAATTCTATAATAATATTTTATTATATTATATACACATATTATGTATTTATGTGTGATATTGGCATATTTTACATTGAAAATAAATGTAATGTATGATTGCAGCTCTCTCACAACGTAGCTAGTCAATTCACAACCTCAAATGAATAAACAAATCGAGTTTAAAATATGTCCTAATATCATAAAATTAATAATTTAAAATACATAAAACAAAAACTACATCGATATTGGTTTGTAAAATAACGTTTTTCGATTTTGATTTCAGCCATTGCATCTGGTGTACAACTAGGATCACTTTATTTAACTTATAAATGCATCATGTTTACCGGATGACGGTGACCAATTTAAATGTAAATTAATTGCGACCAGGGCATTCACCCGAAGCATTTATTGCATGCGTTGTTATCATAATTATTGTTATAGTTATGATTTAAAGAAAAAATGAATCCGGACGCATAATTAATACTACTACATGCTTATGAACGATAAACTAATATATTACCTATCTAGAGACTATAACTACTGTCATTAGGACAAAATAAGGTATTTAGTGTTTTATTTATATCACAGGCGGACGACGTCCAAATAAATAAAACGGTCGTTCGTTGTTCCACATGTCTGAATCATTGCGCACTCTTTCATTTTATTTTACTATAACATCACAAATGTAACTTATTATTATCATTGCTGACATTATGTATACAATTTCGCAGTCTTCCGCATAAAATGGCCCGAAGACCTGATAATAATTCATATACTTTGTAAACATAGTATCGTCCATGACTTAACGTTGTTTTTTTTTTTAACACAGTCGCATTATTGACGCACATTTTTGTATCCTATTATAGCCAACCGATCGTATGGCTGTTTTTGTTCATCATTTCGTCAATACGGGACTTTTTTCCGATTTATGGCCCACCCGCCCAACATGTTTTATGCTTTTGGATGTACTGTGCTAAACGACAATGACAACGATACGTTTGGTTGAGAGAACGCGTCTCTCGTAAAACTGATGATAAAATACAACGGTGGGTTACCTACCTATAGTATTGTTATGTACCCGAGAAGTCCTCTTCAGACTGTTTTGACTCGGTAGAAATCCACTAACTGATGGTCCGGCACTCTTAACGTTTTCCTCTAGATAATTAATAACTATTTTAAAATATCAATAAAAATTTTCTGTAGTTCGAACAGTTAATAGAAAAATATGAAATTGATCATTCACGGGACGATTGTAAAAACGACCACTTGTACACTCGCAGCGAAAACACAAAATGCTATTTTACTATTATTATATTATAAATAGATATTATAATATACATTATTTAATTTTAATCGTATGTCGTATTAGATCGACCGCCGCAGACCTAATGCGCCGGCGCCTGACAACCAACAGGTCAATCTCTAGCATAATAACACTATGCCACCGCTGCCTCTCCACAACCAATCGTTCAAAAAAGCGGTTGGCAGGGCGGACAACGGTAGGACGTGAAATATCCCACTGTTATTGTTTCTCGCTTCAATGAGCCAAGTTAATCTAACTACACCTCGCATATCAGAGGCACACTTAAGGGTAATACATATGAAGGGATGTGTTATAAGCACTCAAAATCTTGGACTTCACGAATCAAAATAACAGCAATAATATGTGGTCTATTTATAAACATCAAAATTCAAATAAAACAATATTTGTAAATCATTTTAATTACTAAAAATATTATTTATGATGTCTATCGATGTATTAATATTAACATTGACTATATCTGAATGTTAGTTTTGTTTTTATTCCAATTTCCTATTTATATGATGTTATACTATTACCTAGGATTTAAAATTATTACCTATAAACAATTTATTAATCTATTTTATTTTGTAATATCATTAGTGTCATGTAATAAAGACTTATTGGGTGGCCGAATATATAATTGGTCAAAGACGACTATTTCGAGAAAAAAAAAACAGGAAATATACTTTGGGACATATAAAATTATGTTGATAATAAAATTACACCTGTTAGGTTCCTGGAGACTGCAAATTCAATAGTCAGGCATTAAGAAGCAATTTCAAGTTTTTTGATGTGTAAAAATGATGTATATATAGTTGTTTTTTTTTCCAATAAATGGTAGTGCATATGAGTTAGTCTTGCAAAAATATTGCAACCTAATGTGGTGGATACGCAGTGATAAATTGGAAAAACGATATATTTCACCATATACTATTATAATAGTATATATTATTGTTTCATGTTTGTTATCTATATCTCACATTTGAACAATTTTTAAAAATATCAAAGAAATATTGTTTTCAAAATGTTTATCCGTTACTTATCTACACATTACGAATCTGAAAAACTTAAAACATATAAAATGTTTTGTTACACAGTGCAACAATAAGTATATGTATATGTATTATTTATATCTAATAACATTATTTGAATCTTATGGAATAATTATTGAAATAAACTTTATAATTAATTACCTATATTATGTGATATAATGGCCTTAAATTTGCATGTTAGTGGACAACTTAACTAAAATATGAAAAGAATATAAATAAAATGTATTTTTATTGCCTAATAAATTTCTAATCATATAATTTAATTTATGATAAGAACAATAATAATAAATAAATATATTTCTGAAAAACTGAGTAAATCATAGAACATGATAAAAAAATATAAATGTTATTCTATTATTTTCAGACAATAATTGCAACAAACATACATTTTTAAATAATTTATTTAATAGTTTTGTGCGTTAAACTTACAATACAATACGAAAATATTTGTTTCTAATTTTATTGTTTTTAAACACAAACTATGTTGATAACTATGCTATCAGCTAATTAATTAATTTATTTTTACTAGTTCTATTGAAGAAGATTCTTCAGTTAGTTGTTTTCATATCAAAAATACATACATATTTAAAAGTTAAAATATTTATTTAAATTAATTTCAAATTATTTAAATAGATAGATATTTAAACGTAAAATAATAATTTTTTATCAAGAGATTTAATTTACCTTGTTGCATATTGTTATAATTTAAAAAAGTCAGGCAAGTAGATACCGCTCTATATCTACTTGCTGTATACGTAGGTACATTAAATGTCGAGCCATTATTATGAGTGTGTAAATTTGAATTTAATGAAATATCGTTGTATACAAAAAACGATTCTGAGCGAAAACGGTCTATCAGAGTGTCAATCTATACTTATAAAATATATACCTACTTATATATATTTCATGATAAATTTTTGATATGGTTAACATTTATTTTATTTTTAGTATTACAGTTAATTAATATAATGATTTTTGAAAATATTATATAAAATGTATTATTTGTATTTAATTATTACACGTATTTATACCATATTATATTAATGTATTTAACTCTTATATAACTTTAATATCACTATTTTATAAGTACCTACCATAAAACAAAAAAAATAGATAATATCTTAAAAAAATCAATAATGTTATTGCTTATAGTAAAAATATTTTTTTTTATTATTATAAAGTTGACATGGTTATTTATAGCTTTAAGAAATAATTTCATATAATTTATAATTAAAATATCTTAAATATCTATTAAAAATAAATTTTTTCATATTTTATTTAAATTTTATGGTTTTAGATGAACTATTTCTGATACATTTTGTATACAATTTTCATGATTTAGGTGTAGTATGAAAAGTTATTACAAATTTCTAATTATAAATTAATTTTTTGTCAATGAATTTCGTCGAAATTCTAACTTCAAATACATATATATATATATATATATATATATATACATAAAAAAAAAATACTTCTATTATGTTTTAATCTTTTTATACAGTTATAAGTACAACTCATATTAGATATTGCATTATATTTTCAAGAATTTTGACCCAGTGAATAATTTTATATCAACAATTATAGAAAAAAATTATCATATCTATAAATAGCTCAAAAAGAGTTAAAATATTTTAAAATTTGTTTTATATAAATAAAATAATAATATAAATATTAGGTAATATTGCCAGTATCTACAGTTATTCATTCTAAAGCTACACAAAAAAAAAAAAAATTCGTTGTTGTCAAAAATTGGATTTGTTTAAAAATTTCTTTTTTTTCTTATATGAAAAAAGTAGTAAGAATTCATAGTTTTAGCCTCTCTAAGATTCAAAATGTTATCCAAAACCATATTCAAAGTTAAAAATTGAAGCATTATTTCGACTATTTATTGTTTACACACACAAAAAAATAAAAATAAACACATATTATTGTAAAATTAATACATACACAGTTCCTCTCAAATTTAAAAATATTGACCATAGAAAATCAATTGATTTTAATATTTCTATTAGTTTGAAAATATTAAAATTAGTTTTAATAACTACTAAGTATTTATGACACAAACATAATATTCAGGTCATTCTACAGCATCACATTAACATTAATAAATTATAAGTAAATAATAATACGATTCATAATATAATAACATAAATAGGTATATTATCCTAAACCATTCACTTAAATTTTTCGAATTTCGATTACAGTAACACTTTTTTTACCTATATAATGAAAATTATTATTTGATTCGAATTTCAAATATCTTTTGTGGTATATTCAAAATCTCATTTACAGCAAAACAATTTCTTTGTTTTTTTCTTTAATAAAATACAAGTGTTATGTTTTTTTATCTAATACGATTATTCATAATCATAATTATTATTCAACAAATAAATTTATATTAGATGGTTCTTATTACCACGTGTCCCAGTATAAGCCTTAATTTTAATCTACCTTTTTCCATTAAAAAAGGCTTTGAATTTATTGGGTATAAATTAACTGATTACAGAGATTTTAGAGAATTTAAATAATCAGTGACGTCAATAAACATATTATGTTTAAATACTGCGGATGCAACACCTAATAATTTATAGATGGTTGTTGCTTTGGCGGATAATGGTAGTCCGCATAATATAGCAGATATTGAAACACAAGTTGTACCTACATATTTGGATATAAGTATATGCAATTTTTACCATATTCACTATTTACTGGTACTTCCTATTTCAGATTATATTTCTATGGATTATCATATTTAAAACTAATATCGGCGCCATTATAAATCCACGGTTGTATATTATAACACTTTCTAACTGCCCGCCACTGCGATGACAGATATATCTGATGTACATCGTCATCCGCTAGCTACCGATGTATTCGACCTATAACGCATTGTACACATACATGATTATGATTTTTATAAAGAGTATTTAAATCTAATGACGTATTTATCGTGGATTGTAATAATAAATGCCTTAAATAGGATAGGTAGTACGATCCAGAATAGGCAGACAATCAGTTTTTTGATGCAAAATGGTACTTAAAACGTTTTAAATTATGTTACACTTTGTATCATATGTATGTATATTTTATGATTAATCTTTAAGTAATAAAATAATTATTAATTAAAATCAAAATATCATAACATGGTGAATCAAATATGGAAACTGCATACATGATTTAGGTAAACAATTAATTACGTATATTTTTATTTATTTATTAAACATCATTATTATGGATGGCTAGGTGTGTATTCTCAGAAATATTTTACCGAATTAAACAGACACTAAGTGAAGACTTAATATAATTAATAATATATATTAAATATAAAGATTGTTTAAAAATATATTTTTACTTATTAAAGGCATATTTTTCGTTCCAGATAGGTACAACTATTGTCTATTTGTCAGGATATGGCTGTCGTTTAAACTTATTTTAATGGTAGCTGATCTAGAAACTGTAGTGGAAATGTACTTTATTAATTTAATATGAGTATTTTTACCAAAACCATTTTTAATATTTTAAATATTAAAACATATAAAAACATAATAGCAAATTTATAAATTAATTAAAATTCTTTTAACTCATATCCCACAATTTTGTCAGCTGATATACGTTTGTGCTGTTATAAGTGGCTTGAAAAAAGTGATGATACATACTTTGATGTCAAGTACAGAAAAGCTATCAAAATACCATCATATCAATTTGCCTTTATTTTTCATGGCTTACTATTGCATTAAAATACGCTGTGGAAATTCAAGCCGAACGATGACAGCACATCGAATAACCTGACGTCATACCATGTAATATGACGAACCGGTTAATTTAACATTATAGTTAACTAAGTTAACTGTTCTTGAATAATTCATATCGGATTACGACGGATTTTGTTATTTTGGGTTTTATAATTAAATTTAGAGACTGCTAGAACGTACTATTATTATTTATAGCAGAAAGGAACATCAATTCGTTTTTAAAATGTTCACGGGTTTAGTTTTTTTTTTTTTAAAAAAATGTTATGTGACATTTTTATTCTTATTTTAAATGCATAT